TAAGGTGGAAGAAGAGTCAATATTTCCATAGCTATCTCACTTTAATTCACTTTGGGGGGGTCCTGTGCCTCATGGAGGCTCCACAGTCCTTGCACGGGACTCTAACCATTTCACGTGGGGGGAAGTGTTTGTGTGAAAGAGCTTCCCTGGGTAAATTGCCTCCACAGACATTTACCTAACCAGAGAGAGAAGATGGGCTGCCATTAATTCACTAGGTGGCTGTAGGTGGTCTACTCTCTCCATGTCAGCCTCCAGTATGGGGGGTAATGATAATGGTTTACCTTAAAGGGCCACTGTAAAGATTACACTAATAATACACGCAATGTGAAGTATTTTTGACCTTTGAAAGCACTATATGAATCCTAAATGTTAATCATATGGGGTGTATGTGACCCAATAATCAGCTGAACCCTACCTCACAGGGTTGTTGTGGAGATGAAATGCAGGGGAAGACTCCAATTTGCTGCCTTGAAAGGGTGTTGGGGCTGCTGCAAAGGGTATAAATGTAATAAAATATACCATATTTTTGCATACATTTCCTCTACATGCAAATCAGTAATTAAGTTTGGACAGAACTGGGAGCAGGGGGAAGACTGTTGGGGAACACTGGTGTTATGTCTGAGCAGATACATAATACTTGCCCTAATAATTTGCAGTACTTCGTATGGTGCTAGTCCCTGTTATCTTTCCTGTGGCTCCTGGTTGCAGCCCTAGGACCTTTACCAGCAAAGTTGGTTTCTTAAATGTGCAGAGCTGGACCTGGAAGCTGCCAGGATATTGCACCTCCTTCTGCTCTGAAAATCTTTCTGATTTTGGAAGTTTTGGGAGAGGAAGGAACTCTGTTCATACTTGGAGAGGCCTTTCCATTTACATCTTTTGAGGGCTGAGCCAGCTTGGACAAGGCTCACCCTGATGGCTGAGGCCTCACATGGGCTTTGAAATCCGCACAGCATGTTTTGTGATTCACTCCCCCTTTCTCATCCGTATGGTAGGCTAAAAGTAGCTCATTTCAACACAGCTGCCACTCTCTTTTTTTGTCAGGGCTGAGCAAACAGCCCCAGCTAGCATATTCAGAATTTGCTGGAACCTGATCGCTTCCCTGGCATCAGTGTTTACCTTGTAGAAACAATCCCCCTCCTGTAAGTGTTTTCTGGCAGTCAATAAACCAGCCTCTACTTTGCTTTTTCCATGTCTGCAAAAAAATTCTTGTATTTAGTTAGTGGACCGCAAACACCTCTGTATGATAGGGATGGGGAACCTAGGAATCACAAGAAGCTGCCTTATACGGATCTGTCTAGCTCAGTATTGTCTACACTGACTGGCAGCAGCTCTCCAGGGTCTCAGGACAAGAGGCTCTCTTACAGCCCTACCTGGAGATGCGACAGATTGAACCTGGAACCAACTGCATGCAAAGGACATGCTGTACAACTGAGTGAAAATCCCTTGCAGGCTACAGAGGGGGAAATAAATCCGGCCCTCCATTCCTCTCTGCTTGGCCCTCGGGAACTCTCTCCAGGCCAGACACCCTCCCCAGCCTTGCTTTTGAAACCATCTCTTTTAAATAAGCCAATCACACCATGGAAAGCCATAAGGAAACAACACATCGGCTACTTTAAAAGCTTATCTTTTTAACGGGAGGCTGCATAAGAGGGGAGTCGCTCTTGGAGAGGAACGAGACGAGAGAATATTAGCCTGGGGAGCTTCAGGTTGAGTCGATCCCTTGGAGAGCTGAATTTGACGGGTGAGTTTTTTCCATAGTTACCCAGGCCCACACATGCAAATATCAAGCCGCTGTGGTTGGATGACTTTTCCGTTTTCCAGGACGCCACAAGAACTGAATGTGCTGCACCCCCCCCCAAAGGAATAGCTGTGGTTTGTGCAATTGTTGGAGCCGAGCTGTAAGCAGCCATCAAACGGAAGCCCAGAGCCCAGAAGGCTGAGTCAGGTCAAAACCAGGAATCCGTGACTCCAGGTGCTGCTGTTCCATGTGCGTAGGGCCAGTGGAGAGATGCAGCCCCAGTCTAAATAGGTTGGAGAGAGCCATTAACCAGCCCAAGCTGGTGGAGACATTGCAGGGATGTGATAGGACATCTGCTTTGCATGCAGAAGATCCCTGGTTCCATCCCTGACACCTCCAGGCAAGGCCAGGAGAGAACGCTGTCTGAAATCCTGGAGAGCTGCTGCCAGTCAGTGTAGATAGTACTGGACTATCTTGACCAAGCGTCTGACTCAGTTCCCAGCTTCCCATGCTCCTTCCAGCATCCCAACTACATTCTCATCCGGTGCTCCTAAGGATGGCAGCAACATTTCATGCATTATGTTGCCTCCTTCGCCTTGTGACTACAGTGTGGTGGCCGGTTTGTGGAGTGTGTGTTTGTGGGGTGGGGGGGAGCAAGAGTGATGGGCCAAATACTACCCCCTGGGCCTTTCACTCTGGCCCCCAGATATCTCCCAAGCCACACACCTCTCATAGGCCCTTCTTTGTACCCTGAAATTGGCTGAAATGTGTCCTTGAGCCGCAATCGTGCCCCTTGCTTCCCTGAATGGAGGGTAGAGAGGATTGTGTGTGCAGAACCCAGCCAGCTTCTGCCGTTTTTTTTTCCTTTGCCCCTTTCCAGAATTGCTATGTGGCCCTTGAAAGGTTCCCCAGAGGTGAATGCGGCCCTCAGGCTGAAAAAAGCAGCACCACCCCTGCCTCAAAATCTACCACTCTGATTCTGCATCTTTCTGACTGTGTACATACATTGCATTTAAAGCACATTATCCCCCCCCCAAAAAAAAAGAGTCCTGGAAGCTATAGTTCACCGCTCACAGAACTACAGTTCCCAGCATCCTTAACCAACTGCAATTCCCTTCAGGTTTCCTCTGGGTAGGGGGAAAATGTGCTTTAAATGTTTGCTGTGTACACAGCTTCCAGCACACACACACTTTCTCTGACACACAACACACACTGCTTTCTCGTTGTTGTCACGTGCCTGGATTCCTTCCTACCTTGGGAATTGTGGCCTCCCCGTTCAGGACAGGCCAAGGTCATTCTTCGCCGTAAACACAGCCTGTCTGGGCTTCCCCAAAGTGCCCCAGCCGTGACCTTCTGCAGGCAGGATGGATTCTCCCATGCGTGCAAAACAGCCCTTACTGAGACCAGGACATTCCCAGGCTCTGCCTAGGCACTTTGGGAGTCTGGTGTGCAGCATGCGCAGCGGTGGGGAGCTCCCTCCTTATCTGCCCTGGCTCTGTTGCCGGCACTCGGGTGATCTGTCTGCGGTGCTGTGCGCTACGCATCACGCCTCCTGTTTTCCAGAAAGTGGTCCATGAAATGGTGACCGGGTGCAGGGAAGCCAAGAGAAGTTTCCTCCATTGTTGATTGTTTGTTTTGTTTGATTTAGTGATGTAGTGCTCTCAGTCCCCATGGCACTTTCCAGAATACAAGAGGGCAGGGTCTCTGCCTCCCAAGAGCTTACAGTTCACAATGCAGAGGAAAGGCCAGACCAGGAGGAGTTTCATCCACCGTAAGATTGTCAGAAGAGCCTGGCTGCTGGATCAAGGCCAGGGCCCACCTAGTCCAGGACTATGTTCTCATCCAAAATAGCCAATGGTCAGGGATGATGGGAGATGGAGTAACCACGTGCTTGCAGTGTATGGTGTGGACATAGCCTTCCTTTTTTTAGTGCACCATTTTGTGTGCCTTGTGTGGGGAAATGCTTTAAAAATGAAATAAATGCAGGTAAATTCAGTGGGAAAGCTTAGCCTGAGCTGAACAGTTTCAAGTTGCCACATTTGAATGATCCTGAATAACTTTAAATATATATGTGTGTGCGTGTATATGTGTATCTATGCATGAATTGAAAGCTCAATGTTTGGAAGAAAAGGTTTCATCTACCCTTGACCCTGATGAGCTATTCGTCTTACTGCAAGGAGCAGGAAAATAATAGATGTGTACATCTCCATTTACTGCATGTTTTTAGAAAAAGTTGGGGATGTGAGCTTGCAAGGATTTTGCCAGATTTTCGAGTGGGTGGGTGTTAGGTACTTAGCATCTCATTTCCTACATGTTTCTTTCTTGTGGTAAAGCTCCAGATAAGATTTCTTGGTTCAGTTGAAGAGGCTTGTGGGGGCACAGAGGCGGAATTTGTAAAAATAGAACATTTGCTAGGTTTGGGATCATACCCAGATGAAAGCAGTTTTAAAAGACAAATTAACAGGGGAGCATCTTGCAAAAAAACCCCAAACCCCGTAAAAACCGTTTAGAGCTGTTTAAAAAAAAGGTTCCAAAAGAAGGAAAGCTTAAAAAAATAGTGTGGTATTTTATAGCATCATCCTTTACATATTTACTTAGAAGTAAGTCTTATTAACATAACCACCCCACCCCACTCACCTTCCCTCTCTCTCTCCCTCTTTTCCTCATAACTTAACATTGTATGTAACACTAATGTCTCACAACAAATGAAACTGAATTGTAGAAAACACAACTTGAAAAAAAGAGACAACACATGTTTTTGTACAATAAGAAGTCTTTAATAAAAAATATGTTTAAAAAGTCATTGATTTACTCCCAGGTGAGTGTAAAGGATTTCAGCCTTAGAGTGGTCAAACACTCTTGGTATATTGTCCCGGTAACTCTTAGGACAACTCTCTAGTGTAGGCCTTTATCCTCATATTACAGATTTTGGACAGAAGGGGAGGTTTGGAAGCTTAGAGAAAGGTAGACTGTATATTGAACTTAGGGGATCCCCCAAGTTTGGCGTCCCCTTCCCTTTTGTGGGCAGAGGGGGGCTGTTTTGGCCATTTAAGGAACAGCACTTATACCCACACATTGGAAATAACAGGAATGCCGCTGTCTCATATCTCATATCTCAACAGGCCAGTCCGGCTTCAGGCAAGCAGAGTTTGTTTGGCTGAGAGAATGGCAGGCAGAGGGGCTTTCAGTCCTCCCCACTCGGCCCCCTCAACTCGGCTTCTTGAGCTGTGCAAGATGACAGTCTTTTGTATTTCCTTCACAGTACCGTGTTGGGCAGCTGTACACCATCAGCAAGCACAGCCACCAAGAGAGCGACAAAGGGGAAGGTGTGGAAGTGGTGAAGAATGAGCCCCACGAAGACCCTGTCCACGGCTGTGGCCAGTTCACCGAAAAACGTGTGCACCTCTCCAGGTGAGAAGCCAGCCAGTGGCTTTTGTTGTTATCTTTGTGTGTGTGGTTTTGTGTGTGTGGTTTTTTTTTAAGAAATCATGATCTGAGATTTTATTTTATTTTTCAAATTTTTTATTGATTTTCCAAATTTATAACAAACATGAAAAACATAACAATATCAAAAAGCAAGCAAGCAAACAAACAAACATTTATCCTAACTGTTATAGTCCCATTTTTGTTATCATTGTTGGGTGACTTCCTCAAATCCCCCTTGCTGAGTTTCCATATAGCTCCTTTAGCAGTTTTCCAACACTATGTTCATATAAGATATACTTGTTCAACTAACATCTTTCTTTCTTTTCATTTTTACTTCTATCCATAGTATTATATAATTTCACATATTTAAATCCTAGGCCAATCTGTTACTCACAAGTAATTCTATTTAAATTATCTTAACATATTTAACTAAATAATCCTTAAACTTCTTCCATTCCTCTTGATACTCCTCCTCCTTCTGGTTGCGGACTCTTCCGGTCAGGTCAGCTAGCTCCAAAAAGTCCATCATCTTCATCTGCCATGATCTGAGATTATTATCTCCCATCGTTCCTCCCGAGGAGCCTCAAGACAAGAAACACAACCAGAACCAAACAATATTTTTTTAAGCGTTCTAAAAAGCACTATACATTTAAACCACTCTGATGCCACTTTGAGCTGTCATGGCTTCCCTCAAAGCACCGTGGGAAATACTGTTTGTTAAGAGTTGCTGAGAGTTGTCAGGAGACCCCTCAGACAGCTAGAATTCTCAAGACTTCCCTAGGAAGAGGAATTGCCTGCTAAACCACTCTAGGCAGGGAATAGGGGTCTCATAACAACTCTAAAGCTCCTGGATTCTTTGGGGGGGAAAGCCACGACTGTTTAAAAGTAGTACAATACTGCTTTACAGATATCGTGCAGTTGGGGCCATGTAGTATTGTGCATGGTACGGATGTGGCCAAGCCTTTTCGTTTTGCACAAGGAAAGCTGAAGATCTGGGGGTTATGGTTCTTCTTGGAGGGGGTGCTCTCCCATCCCATGTGGATGCCCATGCTCAGATTAGCCAGTGGGGTATGAGTTTGTACATGCAAAACACGTGCTCTGCCACTGAGCTTTATCATCGTCTCCCCCCCCCTTCCACCCACCACCTGTACCTTGCTGATTCAGTGTTTTGCTGTTCTCCCCATTTGTTCTTCGCTTTCCAATTAACTTGTCATGGATTCTGACAATTACTCAAGACTGGCTTTTGTTTGAAAACCGCTGGAGACAAAAGGCATAGCCCTCCCCCTCCCCTTGCTCACATCTGCCACCTACGGAGCTGTCTCTGCTTGACTTGACCCCTGTTCCTCACAAAGGTGCTCTCTGCAGTGCAGGCATACCTGTCAATGGAGTGGGGCATGTTAGTGTATGCGCACAGCTGAGTGTGAAGGACTTCCTAGACCCTAAGATCTGGCAGAGAGGCCCTTCTCTGTGTCATACCTTCCGAAAGAAGGTACAGGGTTATAAAGACTAGGACTAGCCGCCTGAGAAACAGTTTCTACCCAAATGCAATTCTGGTTTTAAACACAGTATAAGGAGTCGCTATAGGAGTATATTGTATTTTAAAATGGGGTTTCAGAGTTTTTAGGGGGTTTTGAATGTCTTATGTAGATTTTTCTGTTTTATTGTTCTGTATGGGACAATGACAATAAAGATATCGTATCGAGGTGGCTCGGCTGACAGGGACAAGAGGAAGGGCCTTCTCAGTGACCGCCCCCAAATGTTGTGATTCTTTGCCTTGGTTGACCTTCTCTCTTCCTAGGCTTTGTTAGATGGCAAAAATTTATGCGGACCTAGATGGAATCTTGGCTCTGGGGGTTGAATGTGGCCCTTCAGACCTCTCTGTCTGGCCCTTGGGACACTCCCCAAGCCACACCCTTCACTGGCTGCCCTTCTTGAGTGTTTTTTCCTACCTGAAATGTGTCCTTAAACTGTAATAACACCTCTAGCTTCCTGGAGGTATAGAAAACTTGGGCTTTGTGCAGCTAGAATGTAGCCAGCTGTACAAAGAATCACATAAATTGCTCCACCTAGTTTTGCCTCTGGCCCCACTCACCACTGGCACATGCCCTCCAGAAGATTCCCAATTAGGGGGTGTGGCCCTCGGGCTGAGAAAGCTTCCCCATCCCTGTTATACACACTGGAAGGGTGAGAAGCATATCTTTCTATTTAAAAGGTCAACACTGTTCTGAAACATTTGCACTTTGCAAAAACTGGATGCTGGTCAGGGTTTCCCACAATGTATACACAAGGCAGCAGAATAGAGGCATGTGTGTGTGATCCTGCACCTATGCATTGCTTGCTCCCCCCCCCCCCCCGAGACTGGAGCATTGTCTAGTTGTCTTTCTTTGGCAGCTTGAAGGCACCATGTTGGGAAAAGGCTGCTCTGCCTCTCTATTTTGTAGACATTAATTCCAGAGAACTGGACAGAGCAGAAGAAAGTTTCACCAAGAGACAATAACAATTAAATCTTGGCATTTGGTGAGACAAAGAAAAGCCATTAGAACACAGAGAACCAGTTGAGCAGGAAATCTGATGAACTCCTGCTACTAAGAAATAAAAATCCTTGTAAACTTTAACCACAAGACCATGCTCCCACGTTTTGTTCTCAAACTGCTCCTCCATACGAGGTTTTTCAAATATCCCCAGATGTTCTTGATTACAACTCCCATCCTTCCCAGCCAACTTCGCTAAAAGGGACCATGCAAGTTGTAGTCCACTAACATGTGGGGACCTATGGTTGAAGACCACTGGCCTAGAGGAACCCAAGCTCACACTTTGCCCAATCTAGTGTCCTCCAGAATTTTTCAACTCCAACTCCCATCAGCCCCAACATGTGCATCTCCAGTATTCCACAACATCTGTGTTCTGCCTCCACTGCCTCTGAATGCCAGTTGCTGGGACCTTCTGTATGCAAAACATGCCCTGTCACTAAGCTACAGCCTTTCCTTGAAATAATCCTCTTTCTCTGTAAATCTTGGTGGGAGAGTCCAGCTGACTTGGTGGTGGTAGTTGCTTCCTGTTGCTGTGACCCTGGTTCATATGTGAGCTCTACATAAAGCTTGCACAAGGAGAGAAGCCTCTCTGTGACAGTAGCAGCCATCAGTTGTGGCAGCTGCTGTAGCCACCTGCAGAGAGCTGCCCTCCAGCCCTATCTCTCAGCCCACTGATGAGCCAGTTAGTGGAGTGCTGGCTCCTTTGGCTGACTTCCAGTGATGTCTGGCTTAGAAGCACCAGAGCAGAGTGGAATGAGGAAGTTACTGTGCTTTGCTAAAATTTCCGTGTTCCTTTCTGCTACTGCTGCTAAACAAATCTAGGCCTTGTGGAGCTGGTGGTTATGCTGAACGTGACTGGGAGTGTGTGTGTCTGTGCATCTGCGTGTCTGCAGTTTGCACAGGTGGTGTTAGCATGGGGTAAGAACACAAGAAGCTGCCTTATACCAAGCCAGGCCATTGGTCCATCTAGCTCAGCATTGCCTACACTGACTGGCAGCAGCTCCGCAGGGTTTCTAGACAGGAGTCTTTCCTATCTCTGCTTGGAGATGCCAGGGATTGAACCTTTCATACAATACAGATACTCTGCCGCTGATGTTGCTAGACTACAATATCCATCACTCCAAACACTGGGGCTGGTGGGAGTTGTAGTCCAGCGCCATGTTGCCTAACCCTTTCCATTCGTCAAAACCAACAGCTGCTACAGGCATCTTTCCAAGCAGAGGCTCTGTTCTGGCTCTCTGACATGCTCAGGATGGCAAAACGTCTTGGATTGCCCATGTACTTGGCCTTACAGATAGTTTCACTTGTCATTCCACCCACCCAGCTGAAAATAGGCAATGCTTATAAGCTTCAGCAAGGCTAAATCCCCTTGCTTCCAAATGCTCCCAGCATAATGGATCAGGCAGGCAGCCTCTCTCTGTTTCCCGGCTCCTCCCTTTCTTTTCTTCCCCTTGCTTCCACACACATGCACCTCCCTCACTGCAAGCTTCCCTCCTAGGCTGCCGAGACCTGTCCCCTTTTGCCCAACTGTCCATTGGCTCAGAACGTGTGTTTCGGGGACAGCTTTGGCTGCGTGGACTTGTCTCACTGCACCGCTAGCTGCTGCGGGAGCCATCCGTGCAAGAGGGGGCGGTATTTTTAGACTGCATTCTCACGATTCTCCTCTCGGGGGATGCTATTTATAGAGCGCAGAATCTAATCAAAGCGGTTGGGACGGAGGGGCCCTTGCCTTTTCCCACCCCACAGTTTGGGTGCCGCATCGCTTGATCCATTTGCAGGGAAGCCGGTGAGATTTCAGCTGGTGGTCTAAAGCGATGCGAGAGCCAGCGTCTTCCTCGCTGAGCCCTTCGCGACACAGTGACAAAGAAACGCTCCTGTCTTCCCTCTCCCTTCCCTGCCCCAGGTGCTACAGACTTGTGTCCGTGCTCAGCCATTCCTTCCAGCCACATGGAAGCATTTAGCTGTTGGGTGGGGAGGGCATTTTTCAGCCCAAGGGCCGTATTTCCTTCTCGGGAACATTCCAAGGGCCACATGCCATTTTGCCTGAGGCAAAAATGTGCAGAGCAATGGATGTAAACATTAGCTTTGCACAGTAGTCTCTATACACATGCACACACCTCTCTCTGCCCCTTTCCAGCTAAGCAAGAGGCAGTATCAGAGGTCAAGGACTCATTCCAGCCAGGCAAAAACACTGTTTAGAATAAGTGGCCTGGGCCTTAACTGTCAGAGTCTGCAATGCAAAGTCCCTGGTGCCTTACAGTTTCTCTGCCTCCGTTTATCTTCTGTGCTTTCCGGGGTTTTGAACAGAGGTCTTTCCCCAGCCCTAACTGGAGACTCTGGGGATTGAACCTCGGACTTTATGAATGCAAGGCAGATACTCTGCCCCCTGAGCTACAGCACTTACACATCCCTTTTGGGTTCTAAAGATTTGCCTACTTGGGCTTAGACATGCCCATTTTAAGATTTTCTCTGCTTTCCCCTTTATGCTGTGCTGTCCCACCATTAGCAAGCTGCCTAGCTGGGCTCGCGCTGTGACGCCACGAATATTCTACATCACAGAGAAGGCCTGGAACTATTACCCGTACACAATCACAGGTAAGGAGAGCTCTTCTGAATCAGACAAATCTCCGTCTCACCCAACAACCTCTTTCTGCAGGGCCCAACTAGAGACCTCTTGAGAACCCCAGAATGGAATAGTGTCGGGTGAGGTAGCTGCAATCTTCACTTTTCTCTCCTCTGTCCCTGGCACATAGACTAGATCTACACAGATATAAAAAAACCAATAGGTAGGGAATTCCAAAGTGTAGGAGCTGCCACACTAAAAGATTGATGTCAGGCAGACGTCTTCACCGTACTTCCTTTGGCACCTGCTGAAAACGTTTAGACAAGCTTACCCAGATATTTAGAATGCTGATGTGTTTATGGTTTGTTGGGTTTTTCCTATGTTTTGTTCTTACTAATGATCTCAGTGTTTTATTCTCTTTGTAAACTGCTTTGAGGTTTCCTACAGTCAAGCGGTATATGAATCTTTTGAACTTTAGTTGGATACAACTCCTGAGCCACTCATCAGGTTGGGCAAATGGCTTCCCTGAATTTCCATTTGCAGCTTTCCTGATAGGAACGTGGCTGAGTGCAGGGAACCTCAGCCAGTGCTTCTCCTTTCTGCCTGGGCTGTTGTGCTGGAGCTGGGTGGCTTAAGTTGTCAAGGGAAATTCAGTTATGACTCCCGCGGCAACTGTCCCTCCCCATCTCATTGCTGGTTTTCTCTGTCTCTTTCCTCTGCTGTCCTGCGGATTCCTGGAATCGCCTCGCCATCGACTCAGAGTACACAGTAAGTGCCAAGATGTGCTTGCATGGTAGGCACTTTGCTGCTTCTCCAAAGGAACGGCTTGTAGTCTGGACTTCCAGAGCGGCCCTGAGGCAGCACCAACTCCTCCAGGCAGGAGGCTGCACATGGGAACAAGTGAATATGCGACAGGGAGGAAGGGAAGGACTGGTTTGGGGATGTCGCAGTCAGCCTGTGAAATCCCCCAGGTTTATCCTCCCCTTTCTTTCAAGAAGCTGATAGTGGCTGACATGGCCTCCCCAACACCACTGTTTCCTCACAAGAACCCTGCGAGGTAGGTTAGGCCAGCCTTCTCCAACCTCGGGCCGTTGGCCATGCTAGCAGCGGTTGATGGCAGCTGGATTTCCCTCCCCCCAAAAATTATAATGCATGATAGCACCACTGTGCTGTAGTGACTGGAGTGTTGGACTAGGGCCAAATTCTCACTTAGCCATGAGGCCCACTGGGTGCCCTTGGGCCAGTCACTATCTCTTGTGACCTGACCTACATCACAAGTTTGTTGTGAGGATGAAATGGAGACTGGGAGAGGCGTGCATGCCTCCTTGAGCTCCTTGGAGGAAAGGTGGGGTATAAATGTGATAATCAATAGATAAAACAAAGAGATAATCTAGGCTTTGCTACCAGACCTGTACATTTTAAAGAAGCATAACCTGATCAGTCTGGGCAGAACCCTCCCATTCTTCCATTTTCCTTTATTCCTCCCACCCTGGCCCTTTAAATTATTGGCCATTTTTGCAGCATTGCACCCATTCAATCCTTTCTGTTCAGTGGTAAGCCCTGTTGTGTCCAATAGGACTGGCTCCCAGGTGACTGTGTATAGAATCGCACTGTTAGACACACATTCCTGATTTTATGAGCTGGTGTCTTTCAGCAAGTGCTGCAGTCATCACTTCTCTCTCCTTCATCCCTGGCACACAGGCTGGAGCTACACAGATATAGAAAACACCATGAAAATGCTATGGGGTGGGGAACATTCTATAAAATATATGTGCAATTTGCCATTGAGCTCTCCAGTGCCATTGGAGTCACATTTTTAACATGCACTTATAACGTTATAATTGCAGCTGAGTCCATAGTATGCCATTGGGTGTTGAGTTATCCATGACCAGGCAGGCGAGAAGGAGCAGCAACTAGCAGTGGGTAGTTGCCTGCCTTCCTCTTTGCCAGCTGCATCTGTCCTCCCCCTCCCCAGCCAGCATGGCTAACATCTGGAGGACCTCAGGTTCCCCATCCCTGGTTCACCTTCTCAGATTCTCCTCTTCACTTCTTTTACAGTGCTCTTTCCTGCCAAAGTTCTCTATCTACATAGAGACCAAGTACGAGGACAACTGCGGAGACAGCACAAATGTAAGTGCTAATTGGGAAGAGTTCTCAGTCTGGCACAGAACTGTCTGCCATCCCTAACCGACAACCTCCAAGAGGCAACAGGATGCAATGGGAGGTGGGGAGGGTGTCCTTTGGTGCCTTGGGTTCCTTGTTTTGCAATGTGGCCAGGAGCTTCTGTTAAGGGGGAAACATTCCTCTCCTTTGTATGGAATCGGTGGTCCATTCCCCCATCTAGCCAGCAGGTCCTACTCTGATTGGCTGCAGGTCTTTTAAACTTAAGGCTGATGTCCTTCAGTTGGAGACAGGTTGGCAAGGGGCTTTCTGCTGCATGGCATTTTGCAGAGGACAGGTCCCTGCCCTGAGGAGCGTAAAATCTACAATCTAGCTCCCTCCCCCAAATCATTGACACAGTAGTTTGTTAAGAGTGCTGAGAGGAGACCCACATTCACAGCCACAATTAACAGAGGGGTTTATCAATCAGACCCTCTTCCCAGGGAACTCTGAGAATTGTAGTTTGGAGGGAATAGGTGTTTCCCAACAGCTCTCTGCTCCCTAAACAAACTACAGCTCCCAGTTCTTTAGGAGCCAGGAATGACAGGAGCTGCAGTCCAACATTATCTTGAGGGACACAAATTAAGAAGGCAGGAAAGCTACCTTTGTACCAGGTCAGACCCTTGGTCCACCTAGCTCAATATTGTCTACACCGGCTGGCAGAGGCTCTCCAGGATTTCAGGTGCGAGGCATGCGCTAGAGATGCTGGGGATTGAACCCAGGACCTTCAGCATGCAAAGCAGATGCTCTGCCACTGAGCTACGGCCTTCCCCAGTTGTTGTGCGTCATGCCCTGCCCTACATCCAAGCTGCTGGCCTGACAGCCCCATCTCTTTCTCTACCTCTTGCCCTCCCAGATCTTCCACAAGGAAAACATATTGGGAGACCACGATGTGACATTCCTGGACATCGCCTTTGATGAAATCCCAGAGCGCTACTACCGGAGCCTAGAGGTAACGTGAGGCAGGGAGGCACCTGTCTACCCAAGTTTGTGTGTGGCCTTTCCCTTGCCTGAGTCCTGCTGTGACTGTAAGGAAAGCCCTGCTGCATCAGACCAAAGGCCCATCTTGTCCATCGTCCAAAGTGGCCTATCAGATGTTCCTGGGAAGCCCACAGGAAGCCTTCTGCCTGCGTTTGTCCCTCACCTACTGGCATTCCAAGGTACACTGCCTCTGAGTGTGGAGGCTCCATTTAACAAGAGCCCTGCTGAATCAGACCAAAGGCCTGTGTAGTCCAGGAATCCTGGGCTGTACCCAGTGTTGGTCTGATGCAGAGTAGACCCATCAAAATGAATGGATCAGCCAGCAGCCCCTAGCCCACCATCCTGTTTTCGCAGTGGGCAGCCAGATGCCTGGAGGGCAGCCCTCAAGCAGGACCCAAGTGCAAGAGCGCTCTCTCCTACTGTGGTTTCCAGCAACTGCTGCCTCCAACCATGGAGGCAGATTGCAACCATCATGGCTACTAGCCATTGGTAGCCTTCTCCTCCATGAATTTGTCCAGTCTTCCTCTAAAACTATTCAAATGGAGGTCCACCGGCTCCTTAGACTTGTCTTCTCCATGTTGGTAGGATCTCCGGTACTTCAGTTCGACCAAGACTGGCCGTGGCCCGCTCCGGGAGGGCTGGCGAGAGCATACCAAACCCATCATGTGCTCCTACAAGCTGGTGACGGTCAAGTTTGAGGTGTGGGGGCTGCAGACACGGGTGGAGCAGTTTGCTCACAAGGTGAGAGCTCAGCCTGGAGACATTTGGGGACCTGGAGGGATGGACTGGGCCCTGCTTTTGCTGGGAGTGTGGGAGGTACCCTTCCTGAGTTTTGAGAAGTCCTTGATTCTCATCAGACAGATTATCCCCCTGCCTCAAAGCAATATTCTGTGCCAGGGGTCGGGAACCTGTGCCTGCCTAGATGCTGCTAGACTACAAAGCCCATCATCCCTGAAACAAAATGGATGGCTGTTGTGATCCTCAGGAATGTCCACCTCCAAGGAGGGCTGGTGGCTCAAGCCAGGGGAGTTCAAAAGTTCCTGAGTTCCTGGGGAAGGCAAAAGTCAGCACCTTGGAGGAAGATCAGGGTGTGTTCAGGACCACAGAGAGTGCTTCTGCAGCTGAGCCAACCATCCATGTTGTCTCAGCAAGGTCATGGAGCAACTGGCTTTATAGCAGTGTTAGGCAGTCACTGACTGGACTATGCTTGCTGGGGCTGATGGGAGGTGCAATCCAAAACAGGGAAGGCTTCTCTGGAGCATAGGAGATCAGTCTGTGCATTGCTGCCTCCTGCTGGAAGGGCTCTCAACCACTCTACTAGCATAGCAGCCTTCGGTGGTTACAGTGGGAGGGGGTGACCCTCCCCATGGGGCTTGCTGTGATCATTGCCCCCCAAAAGATAGAAGATACCCAAGGAGTTGTTAACCTAGTTTTGGGTTGCAGGCCATCCGGGACATCTTGCTGATCGGCCACAGGCAAGCTTTTGCCTGGGTGGACGAGTGGTGTGGTAAGTGAGCCTTTTTGCTGTGTTGCTGGTGGCAGAGTGGGTGGGAAGAGAGTGTGTGAAAACTCTTTGGGCCGTGGGAGAATCAAGCTTCAGGGTCCCCTTCCCCTAGGCTGCCCTGCTCTTTGCATCATTGCGGTTTGCATTCATCAGTATGGACCTCCTGTTTCCTCCTAATCAGCAACACAGAGTAGTGGGGCCCTCCTTCTTTAAAACTTTAAGCATGCACTGAATTAATGGGGAGAGCCTCCTGCCCTTCACTGTGCTTTTAAATCCCCTGATTGTAAGTGCAACAAGATGGTTAAACGGTAACTAATCTGTGACCTGCATTCTTGAATGTGGGCCCCTCCGATGGGATCCTACAACTGCACACAAATGGAAATGTTGTTTTTGGAAAACGTTTGCTTTGTTCCCCCTGGAGCTAAAAGCTGTCACTGGTGTCTCCCATAAATCTCAAGCCCCACTTATTTTATTTATCTGTATTTACTAAACCTGTTTCTAGCCCTTTTCTTGGTTTTGAAGATCTCCGCAAAGTGCACAAAAGAGCAACACACCGTTAATTAAATTCGTATTGCAACAAAGAGGTCTACAGCTGAGAGGAGGGACAGCGGTGATCAGTGTTCGCAAAATTTTGGGATCTGCTTTGGGGAATGTTACGTAGCAAATCAATTCTGACCTAACGTGTCCAGTTGTGTGCAGTTCTAGGTTTCTTGGCAAAGGAGTGGGGTTGTGATCACCAAAGCTGTGGAGGCTGGTCCATCAGAGTGACCACTGCCCCACCCATCTCACTCTGCCCTCAGCCAGCCCCCACCTGCCTGCCTTCCTCCTTACAGCCCATTGAAGGTGTGGCCCTGGCTGTCATCTTGCTCCTCCTTAGTCTCTGTGTCACCCTTGTAGAACTCATACAAAAACCCCTTTTATTAAAGAGCCCCGTAGTGCCTCTAAGCCACCTCTGGTTAGCAGCTGCCACAAAATTTCTCACCCCTCTAAACTATCTGAGACACAGCGTCCTTCTTACCTCACAAATCCCCTTCTGAGGAACTGCAAGCGAAAAAGGTGTTTAGACTCCCGCAGGTAAGTGGAAGGCAGAACATTACTACCTGACTCCACTTTTTTCTTACCTTCCTTTTCTAACCCAGCTAACTTTCCCCCTCAACCCCTGTCCTTTTCATTTCCCCTCTCCAACGTTTTCCTGAGCCTCCTCTTCCTTTGAGTTTTGCTCCAGTGTTGACCGAGGTTGTGCTTTCTTGTACCAATGCTGCCTGGGTCTAAGGTCTCTTGAGTGTGCATGCACAGAATCAACTCCAGCCTGGTGGGGGGTGAGGGGCTCTCCTCCTTGCCCCCTACATTGGGCTTACATAGCAGCAGCAGTAGCTCTCAGACCAGTGCTTTCGGCCACTTCAAATTTCCCATAATGCCCAGAGGAGCCTGATTTAGTGTTGCTCTGGGGCATTGTGGGTAATTTAAAATGGCAGCTTGTTGATTCTTAAGACCCCCCCACACACACACACACAGGGAGGAGGTCTTAAGCCTGCAGCAGTGCCAAGGGGGCTCTCAGCTGCCTGGTATTATTGGGAGCTGATGCCAACCCTGAAAACACACACACAGAGCGAGCCAGTGGATTCAGAACCACTTCTCTACTGCAACCCCACACCACAAGGGAACACAGGAATCTTTCATTTCCAGAGAGTAGGGCTGATCTCCTAGGCCTTTCCTGCCCAATTATAATATCGCAGTCAACACAAGGGACCTCGAGAAGCCATCCAGCCCGCCCTTCCTCACTGCAGGATCTGTGACATTGCTTTCTACCTTGCCTCTCCTTAAATGCATCCTGCCAGCTCCCAAGGCAAGCTGGTGTTCCACTATCGAACATATCTGACTAGGTGGAAGCTTATTCTACTTTGCAGCCAGAATGTGCCATGATCCCCTGCTCGTTTCCACCCATTGGTTCTAATTCTAGGTTAGAGAAAGGGGCTGTAGCTTGGCGGTGGAGCATCTGCTTTGCATGCAGGGAAGATCCCTGGCATCTCCAGGCAGAGCTGGGAGAAACACTGTCTGAGCCTCTGCCAGTCAGTGTAGGGGATACTGGGCTAGATGGAGTGATGGTCTGACTCTGTCTGCTTCCCTCTGGAGTAACTGAGAATAAGGTCCTCAGAAAACGAATTAAGTGCAGTTCATGTCAGGCTGGCATAAGGGACTCTGGGAGGGCAGTGATGCAAAGGCAATCAAACCTCTTACAACTCCAACCAAGGAGTTTATTTTTTATAAGGGTCAGGCAACATCCTAGGAAGCATTGCAGCCTGGAAAGGGCAGGCTTGTTTGCGTGGCTGGGTTCCCTGCTAGGAGAGGGCACACAGAACCTGACTCCCCATTTCAGATCCCCGACTGAGGACCTGTGGGCCATGCAGTCCCTCCCCACACACACTGGGGCCATTCCACCGGTCCAGCTGTGTGCTTGCCTGTGTCGCCCCCTGGTGGCAGCAGAGAAGCAAAGTGAAGAAGGGGAAATGAGGGTAGCTGCAAAAGGAGCAGGGAGGGTGTGAGGTCTCGGGAGAAGCCCATGGCAGCTACAGGGGTCAACAAGGCATTGTTTGAGGCTTGCCCCTTTTGCTGTGAGTTGTTGACTCTTTGCAGGTGCTGGCTAGGTTACTTTGCCTATGAATGCTGGCCACCTTTGTAGTGAGATGGAATGACTTTAAAAGAGGATCTGTGCATGGAGGATATCCACAGATGCTAGCCCCAATGGCTGCGTTCTGCCTCTACGGTTGGAGGCAGTAATGCTCCTGAATGCCAGTTGCTGGAAACTGCAGGAGGGGAAAGTGTTCTTGAGCTCAGGTCCTGCTTGCAGGTTTTCCACAGGCATCTGGGCGGCCCCTGTGAGAACAGGATGCTGGACCATTGGTCCATCAGGCTGCTCTTGCGTTCTTATATTCTCATTTATTTCATCATCTACCATCCTCATTTTATTTGTACTCCACTGGTCCTTCTGAAAGGAAGCACAAAGCAACTATCATTTTGCAGAAACAAATGCAACAGCTAAAGGCAAACAGGAGGAGACTTTGGGGCATGAAGGGCTGTGGCTTAGTGCTACGCAAAAGGTACCGGGTTCGGTCTCTGGCTTCTCCAGGCAGGTCTGGGAGAGACTACTGCCTGAAACCCTGGAGAGCTGGAGCAGTGCCCTGGCATGCTGAGGCAGAGGCAAAGGACAGGAGGGAGGACTAAATGGGCCTTTGGCCTGATTGATCAAGTTTCTTCTTATGTTCTTATAAGCACCTGAGGTGAGAGAGCAGTGCACCAAACAGAATAGCTGGGAAGAAACCACCAGTGTCTGTGCAGAAGGTTTCAGGAAGAGTGCCTGTTCGCTTGTAGCACCACCTGCTGGCAGAATGCGGTACTAGAACTTGGAAACCTATGCAGAGGATAGATAACAGAGTAAAGCCAAAGCTCCAAATACACTCGGTGTTGTTTTCATTGTTTAAAATATATTTTAACATTCGTGGTTATTTGGATTTAAGCACATAGGGCAAAGTTTAATTAAATTACATAGGGATTGGAGCAACGAACTACCGGAGGAAAAACCTCCCTTGCCAATGAAACGTTTGTTTTGCTCTTGTTATTTTCTGAGATTCCACCAAATGGGGCACATTTTTGGGCCTCACTTTGCAGGAGGGTTAGAAACTTGGTGCGTTTCTGTAGTCAGTTAATGCAAGCTGAGGTTTTTGTCAGGGCTTTGGATTGTGCTCCCCATCGATAATTCTGAACAATTTAAGATTGTAGCTGCTTTTCAAGAGGAAGGCAGTTGTGTTCCATGAGCTGCCTCCTACGTTCTGTGTAGTGTGACCCAGATTAGATGTGGCCAGAGAAGGAGGCTGCCAACAAGATGGAGAGACGAGTGCCTCTGCATATAGCAACTTCCTGTGCCCTTCCTGTTAGGGATCCTGGTAGCTTTTTCCTCCCCTTCTCTGTCTCCTGCATAATGGTACTAACAACTCTGCCCTCCACTGCTGCTCAGGGCTTTCTCATCCCTTTTCGCCTTCAACCTTCCCCTTTTCTGATGATCTGTGCTGTGATAGTTCTGCTCCTGAGAGAGAGAGCCACCTCATCTCAGTGTACAGATCGTCGCTTGGCAGACATCTGGGAAAGGCCCCCTGAACACATTTTGCGCCTTTCTTACCCCAAGCAGATGGCCAGGCACTGTTTAGAGGGCAGGATTCAATCTCTCGTCCTGCACAGCCCATTTTCCATTGGGTGGGGTTAGGGCCAAGGGTCCAAATGTGCTTCCCGCAGCAAGAAGGAGAAATCCTGTCCACAGACACCATCGCAGTCGGTGGTGCATTTGGGACCGGCCCCTTGTCTCTCTGAAAAGAGTGGAGATGCGGCCCTTGCAGCTCCAGCATCTTGTGACGGCCCCTCGTTGGCTCTTTGTGGGGCCTCGGCTCCTCCGGGTTTCCTGCGCCTCCTTCCGCCGAGCCCGGCTTGCTTTACTGAGCTTTGAGAGCATCTCTGCGTGTTACAGACATGTCCCTGGAAGAGGTTCGTGCCTTCGAGACTCAGATGCACGTGGCCACAAATAAAAACTTCAGCACCCAGGACCCTTAACGCCCCACCTGGCCCAGGACTCCCGTTTTGTATGTATATGTTTTGTTTTTGCCTTTTGGTCTTTCCTTTCTTCTCCTGGATCTCGGCATAGCAGGTCCCAGCCCTATTCCTCCTAAGGCTCCCCTGTCCTTTGGAGACCCAGCTATGCCTTTTCTGTGCCCAAGATGCATGAGAGCAGCAGCAGCAGTGCAAAGGGTGTCTGGAGCACGTTGGGAAAGGGCTGTAGCTCAGTGGCAGAGCATCCGCTTTACATGCAGAACTCTCAGGTTCAGTCCTCAGCGTCTCCAGGTAGGGCTGGGAGACACCTCCGTCTGAAATGCTGGAGAGCCGCTGCCACTCAGTGTAGGCCGTATTAAGCCAGATGGACCAATGGTATGATTCTGTCCAAGGCAGCTATCAATTGTTCCTGTGATGAGCATTAAACTGACTTCATGGCTTTCCCCCATAGATGTGCAGGAATGCTGGGTCACCAGCCAACCTGAATGGAAGGGGGAATTCCATTCAGAGTGCCAATCCTTACCTAGCAAACACAGCAGCACGCAGTGCAATAGGGACAGGGATCCTTGTACTTGGGGAATGGCAAAGTTTTCAGAAGTATACGCACAAATGGAGGAAAGAAAGAGAGGAGAAAACATATACGGAGCATCAACAATACCAGCCCAGGAAAGCTCAAGCACCTGTGTTGGGTGGGATGGCGAGTGTAATGGAGTATCTCACCAGAGGTTTCCCGCTGCTCTCAGAAAGAGAGGGAAAGGGGGTAATCCGCTGGCCTGGATTTGAATCTGAGTCCTCTGCTTCCAGAAGGGATGGATTGATGGATTGGTCTGTGAACTGCCCTGAGACCTCTGGGTATACGGCAGAATATAAATTCAATAAATAAATAAAATTGATCCACTGCCCAGAATTGAGTGTGACATGTTCATTGTTATGACGGTGGTGATTTTATTATTATAATCATTGCTTTTATTTTAAATTACACTTGATTTAGATTTGGGCTTTCAAAAACAAATATTCAACTTTATGTTTAAGCGTTATCAGTGATACAATAGTGAGCTGTACTCAGTGTTGATACAGTAATTGTATATTATTACAAATAAGAATAATACTATGCCAATAAAGGCTGAATCAATGAATAATAATGATTGTTATAAGTCCTCCTCAGGGTGAAAGGCAGATTAGTATTACAATTTCTATCCCACTAGTATTCCAAATAACTTAAGGTGGTCTTTTATTGCTCTCCCGCTCTCCATTTTCCCCCTCACAACAACCCTGTGTGGTAGGCTGAGAGACAGGTGACCTACCCTAGGTCCCCCAGTGATCTTCATTGGAACCTTGCTTTCCCAAGTTCTTGTCTGACACTCTATCCATTATACCACGCTGCCGTACCCAGGGATGGAGGGGAAGTCTTGCTCTCCTCCCCGTTAAGGCTCCAGAGAGAGGCGAGTGGTGCCCTGGGGGAGGAGAGGCAGCCGCTCGGGCCTAACCCAAAGAGAGGCAGCAAGCACCCCCCCTTCCCCACCAACCTCAACCTCTTCTCAGAAAGCCTCCCTCCACCTTTTCTTCCCACAGGGATGACGATGGACGAGGTGCGCCTGTACGAGAAGGAAACCCAGGAGGCGACCAACGAGATTGTCGGCATGGCGGAGCCCACCTTCACCCTCAGCGGAGTGCGCCTGCCCCCCAACACCCAGAGCGCCCCTTCCACTCCCCTCAGCGGCGACGCGCCAGACTTCCTCAGTGTGCCCAAGGACAGACCGCGGAAGAAATCTGCCCCAGAGATGCTCTCTCTGCCGGTCCTGAGGGAGCGTGCCAACGCAGAGTGACGCCTGGCCCCACAAGGCTTACTCCGGCTCCTGAGTCCCCACCCCTTCCTTCGTCAAAGAGACTTGCCCCCCACACACTTCATTTCCCCAGGAAGGCACGTACCTTGCTTTCGTCTGGTTTTTTAAAAGAAATTATTTATGTGTGGGTTTTTTTGGTTTTTTTAATGACCTTTCTGAGTTTCTCCTTGTCCTGAATTGGGCAACATCCACCTGCTGGACTGAGGAAAGGCCTACGACTTGTGGCCCGCCAATTCCCTTCCCTGGATTTCAGCAGCTCTCTTGAAAAGTAAACCTTTCTGACTTGTTCTGGCTAGCGTCCATCCAAACGTGGCAGGGATTCTCTGACTTTTCCCTTGTTTGACCTGGGGCACTTGTGGTATTCCTGTATTGCAGAATAACACACACACACCCCGGTCCAGACACACACATCCTGAGCTTCTCCTCCCTTGCAGAAATGTTGAGTGAAATTTACTGCGCCTTCTTAAGTTCCTTTGGGACTCAGCGGAGTGGGCAGGCCTGGATTGCTTGTCTCCCACCAGCTCAGCAGTCACGAAAGGGGACTTTTATGGTAGCGGGGGGGGGGGTCATAGCTCAGGGGCAGAGCATCTGCTTTGCAAGCAGAAGGTCCCAGGTTCAATCCCTGCCATTGAGTTCTGTGTGCTGGGACAACTAGAGTCTTAAGAATCATCAGTGGAATAAGGACCCCTCCAGACTGAGGGTTTGTTTGGTTGTTTTATGCAGAGGTTTTCTGCAGTGTGTCATTGACACAAACATAGTGCGTTCATGGTGGATTTATCCTGGGGTGTCCACACTTCGTTCCACTTTATTAGCTGTTCTGTGATGCTTTCCAAAGGTTATCACTTTTATGACACCTGGACGGGCAGCTCTTGTTCTCTAGTACAACAAAGCAAGAACCACCACCATCTCTGAAAAATACTGGAACATTAGTGGTATATAAAAAGTTGCAGGATTTCTGCCCTGAATCTTTAGTAGGTGCAAACAGGATTGCACATAACTGCCCTGATACCATTGTGAGCACAAATAATGGTAAATGCACAATATAAAGGATGTCTGGAGGGGCCTTTACACTGATTAACAGTGTTCTTTGTAACACAGACAGGCCTTTTCTGAATAGGATTTCCTGTTATTTGTCCCCCCATTTATTCAGAATGTGCCAATATCCAGCTAGGCTGGAGAGCAAACCTGCCAATACTTTCCACACCACCCTCATGCAGAATTTGATAGCAAGGCTCAGCATTGTGCATGCTAAGGATCTCCATTCTGGGGGCTGCTATAAAACAAGCTTCTAGTCCCTGTGGCTACAGAGAGCAACTTGAAATTACTGTATAGGCAATACCTGGTAATGTTTTTTGAAGCTGGGACTGAGCAGGACTGCTAGGTAGCCAGGATTGCTGCTTTTAGAGCTCTCACCCAGTGCCTTGCGGCTAGCAAAAGGAGAACAAATTAATCAAATCTGTTTACACTGGCATAAAGGGGTAAGAGCAGAAGGGCACAGGCTCAATCACCAGCATCTCTAGGTAGGACTAGGAAAGACCCTCATCTTAAGACCCAAGAGAACTGCTGCTGGTCAGTGTAGACCTGCTTTCCCTATCCTAAGGTCCTCCAGTTGTTTTGGACTACAGTTCCCCAAAAAACATAAGGAGAGCTTGCTGTACCAGGCGAGTGGCCCATCTAGTCCAGCTTCCTGTTCTCACAGCGGCCAGAAAGATGCCTGTGAGAAACCTGCAAGCAGAATTCAAGCAGCTAGGTTTCCAGCAACTGGTATGGCAATGCTGGCAGATGAAAGTTGCAGTCCAAAATATCTGGAGGGTACCAGGTTGTCAAGATTAGCATAGACGATACTGAGCTGCACGGATCAATGGGAGACAAATGTTCAGAGGGAGAGCACAGGCTTCCTGAAACCCTGGAGAGCTGCTGCCGCTTAGTGTGGACAATACTGGGCGAGATGGACCAATGGTCTGACTTACCCTAAGGCAGTTTCCCTATGTGTCTTAAATTAATAAGATTCTTCTGGGTCTTTGTGATGCTGAGCCAGCGTCCTAGTCCTTTCCAGCCCTTCTGCCTCCCTCACACAGTGGCCCCCAGACCTCTTCCTCTGTGCCTTTGGAACAGGGACCATTCCCACTACTGCAACAAATGTCTGTAGAATCCCCTCCTCATAGGAGGTGGGAAGCATCAGCGCCCTCAGCGTCCATCAGCCACAGCCAGGGCATGCACATAAATGATCCCTGCAGGATCAGGCCAAAGGGCCATCTGGTCCAGCATCCTGTCTTTGTTGTGGCTGTGAGAAGCCCCTGACAGCACAGGTAGGACATGTCCATATTGGCTAATAGCCATTGATGGTCCTATTCTCCATGAATAGCCTTATCCTCCAGGAAAAGTTGCCCATGTGGCTCTTGGAAGGCTCCCCAAAAAGGAATGAGCCTTGCCTTCTTTCGCCTCTGGTCCTGCCCATAAATTTAATGTGAGCGTAGGAAGCGCCTTGCTGGATCTGGCCCATAGCCCATCTATTCCTGCCTCTTGTTCTGCCAGAGGCCAACTAAACACATTTGGGAAGCCTGCAAACAGGACCCAAGCACAACAGCCGTCTCCCCTCTTTTCAGCAACTGAAACTCAGAGGCCATCGCCTGCCAACTCTCCTGCCATCACCAGCGTCCAACTTTTTTGCCTTGCAGAAAACCAGAAGTGCAGCCCCCGTCTGGAAGGGGGCTTCAAGGCAGTGCCACAGATTCCTCAGATGTCAGCCTCTCAAGTCTTAATGTGCTCTCCGAACCTCAATGTACAAGCATCCTTACTGGAATTTGCACTGCTTTCTGTCGCAGAACGGAACTGCTGCCCTTTTTGAGTGTAGGCATCAGCTCCTAGCTTCTTTTGTGGTTGGTCCCTTTGATTCCCAGACTGCCATCCCAGCTGCTACATTTTGCCTCTGAATGCACAGAAATTGCTGGATCCTCACCCTTTTCGATGGAAGCGCTTTGGAGGGACCAAACAGACCTCGAGAAAAACTTCCTCAGAAAGCTTGCCGTGTGGTTCAGGGTTGCCAGTTGAGGAACATGGACTGGTGTTTGATGCACATTATCGAGGTCAAACAAGTTTTGAAGTGTTGCTTGGGTGGGATTCTGACCCCTAAGATCCATCCAAGCTCCCAGGAAGAACAGATGGCACAGAAAGATGATCCAGCAATATGTATTTTAGTTAGCCATCTACGAACTATGCTTACACTTTTTATGTGTGCTGAAATATGGGGAACTAGGACTGCAGCCCCATCAGCCATCTCTCACCCAGATTTTGGCGGGGAAGTGTCTGAGAATGTATGGAACACCCTTGTGTTTCTGGGCCTTTTGAGAACCCGGGTGGCAAACATGGATTGGGGCCTGTTCTCATCCAGTGTATAAGCTGAGAGGCTCCCTGAATTCCATGGGCCCGGAAATGGGAGGAAATTGGTGTGTATTGGAAAATCCTATGTAGATAATTTGTGATCTGTGTAGGAGCCATTCTGTTATGCTTTATTTTTTAAAAAACGAGTGATAAAACAGTTTCTCATGGGAAAACCATCCTTGTGCTTGTGCAACTGGCTCAGTAGGGGGCAACATGATGTTGGCAATCATACCGGATTTGTATTTTATTTATTACACTTCCATCCCCTGGGTCCTTACTGCTCTTGCTCTGGCTCTCTTGAGCAACCTTTCATACAGCATTGGGTGTCTGCCCACATATTTCCCGGCATCATTTGTAAAACCTCTGCACTTGCACTAAAGGGGTGTCATATAAAATCAGTGGTGGCTGGTGCCCATTGAGACTGGTGGGGCAGGAGGCCAACAGTAGGTGGCACCAGAGCCATTGACAAGCAGAGCCAACTAATTCTAGTTTCATCCCCATTCCGCCTCCTCTCTGCCGAATTCTACCAGGGTTAACACTGAGCCTAAAGAGGATGAAGAAGCTGACAGCCAGGGCTTCCATCACCTGGGCTGGCTGTAAGTAAGAAGGCAGGAATACTTGATGGGAAATTTGAATAGTGTGCAGGTTTATTTTTAGTAAAAGGCAGCACGAGATTAGGGGTTTTTTGGGGGGGAGTGCATCCTGGGGTCCTCTCCCCACCCTCCATGTTCACAAACAGTCCTCTCCCTTCTTATTTATTTCTGCTTGACAAAAAGGTGGCTAAATATGCCATGGCTCAGGTGGTGCACCTGCTTGGCATGCAGAAGTTGGACACTTCCAGAAAGGGTTGGTAAAAACTCCTGAAACCCTGGAGAGCTGCTGAGCTGGAGATACCAGTGACATGATCCCATGTGTGTGTCAACTTCTTATAGGATGGGACTAGCTGTTAGTTCAACTGATACATGGTTGGCCATGGGTTCATCTTGCTCAGTATAGTCCAAACCAGTGGCTTCCAATTGTTGGTTTGCATAACCTACCCAGGGGGTCCATAGCACGTACCTGTCAATTTTTCAGGACATCCTGCTTTGGGAAGGTTGTGCTCTCACGAACAAGCGCAGTGCCCCACAACGCTTGAGATTGCGGCACCCAAAAATGTATGCCGTATCCTTGCACAGCAGGTCCACAGGACATTGGCCATGCTTAAGAACTTAAGAAGAGCCTGCTGGATCGGACCAATGTCCCATTTAGTCCAGCATCCTGGTCTCACAGTGCCCCACCCCAAGATGCCTGTGGAGCGGAAGCCAGGAGGCAGGATCTGAGTGCAACAGCACACTTTCTTCCTGCAATTTCCAGGAACTAGTATCCCAAAATCTTCAGCCTCCAACCATGGAGCCCATGGGTAGAGCCTGCTGGATCAGGCCAAAGGCTTATCTGGTCTAGCATCCTGGTCTTGCATAGGCCAGCCAGATGCCTGGAGGGAAACCCACAAGTCAGACCCAAGCACAAGAGCACTGTCTCCTGTGGTTTCCAGCAACTGGTACTCAAGACGCATTACTGCGTCCAACCTCTGAGGCAGAGCACAGACATCATGGCTGGTAGCTTCATGGTTTCTGGGGTTGATGAGAGTTCCAGTTCGGGAGAGCCTACATCCACAGCCTCAGAGCAGCTCTCTGGGGCTTCAGGCAGGGATATCTCCCAATCCTACACTGGGGACTGAATCCACAACCTCCTGCATGCAAAGCAGGTGCTTCCCCACTGAGCTACGGCCCTTTCCCTATTTGCTACCCTTGGAATCTGCCCTTCAGCTGCAAGGACAGGGCCAGCTTTGAGAATGAGCATGCACACAAAACAGCCACTTGCGTTCCTGACATCTCTCCGCTCCAAGCAAGTAGTTGAACAGATGTGGGGGAACGAAGAAGCCTCTGCTGCCTGGAATTAGGAGGTCGCTTGCTCTAAGCTTACCCATCTAATCTCGCTCCTCTTCACCCCCATCCAGCTCTCCTATGTCCAGCTCATCTGGGGGAGCAGACAGCCCCCAGAACATCATGTAGTGGGAGTTGCAGTAGACAGGAGGCTTATTGGGGTTTGAGTAGGCCTGTTCTGGTTTGAGGGAGGCGAAGGGGTTGGCCCCACAGCCTGTGATCTGGGTCTCTAGCTCCATCAAGATCTTGAGCGAATTCTTCATTTCCTGTTCACTGGGGGAAAGAAGGAAGGGGTCTTGGTTAGTGCTGCTAGATCATTTTCAGTTTGCCCTGCCTAGGTCATTTTAGACGCTGAATGGTTTTTCAAGTGCATCCAGATAGTCACTATTTTGGGGTGGAACTCAATCACGTATCAGCCCATGATAGTTGTGCTGTTATAATGGATGGGAAGGTTTTGCACAACAAACCCACTTCCTCAAAGGATCAGACTTTTTGCAATGAAAGCAACAGAAAAATGCACTGGAAAGTGTGAAATAACATGCTTTAACACAACCTTGCCTGGACTTCATTAGCATCCACTGAATAGAGCTGGCATAGAGTAGTGATTAGAGTGTTAGACTAAGACCTGGGGTTCAGGGTTCAAATTCCTACTTGGTTGGTCACTGCTTTTCAACCTAGCCTACCTCAACAAGGTGGTTTTGAGGGTAGAAAAAGGAGAATTATGTATGCAACCTTGAGTTCCTTGGAGGAAAGATGGGGTATAAATGTCATAATAAAATAAATGAAGATAATTTTAGGCTTCTAATACATAAAATCCAATTTACAGAAATATTAAAATATGAACACCCATGATTAAAATACACAATCCCATCAAAACAATGGATTTTCCACATTCGTGAATTTTTCTCATTCCTTTTAGGTATGTATTTATGAATCTTCCTCCCCCCACCTTGTTTTAATGTAAGTATGTATCTCGTTATATTGAAAATTGAATAAAGATAAATTATGCATACACACTTACATAATTAAAGCAGGCAATAAAACAACACAGCAATTGAAACAGGAGGCTTGGGAAGAGATCAAAGGAATATGTGTGCAAACAGATATTCAAAAGTCGACAGAATGCCAATATTGATTTGGCTTCCTGGGCATTCTGCCCTAATGGGACCACAATGGGTTTGGGGACAGTCCTAGGAAACTGAAAAGGGAAGGCTCCGGTTCCCAATTTCTGTGTAGCTTCTTATAACTCAATGAGTTCAGGGCCATCCCCACTATTGGACAAAATGAGGCAAATGCCTCAGGCGGTAGATGTTGGGAGGCAGCTGGGTTCATCTTGCTCAGTATGGTCTAAACCAGTGGCTTCCAATTGTTGGTTTGCATAACCTACCCAGGGGGTCCGTAGCACGTACCTGTCAATTTTTCAGGACATCCTGCTTTGGGAAGGTTGTGCTCTCACGAACAAGCGCAGTGCCCCACAACGCTTGAGATTGCGGCACCCAAAAATGTATGCCGTATCCTTGCACAGGTCATGTGACTCGCATGGGAGCACGGTCTGGTTTTGCGCTGGGAGATGTTGGAGGGTGTCGTGGCACCATTCACATAACAAAAACTACCACAAAGATACCAACATGTTCAAAAGTAGGGAGTCCGTGGCTTGGCTTTTGAAAAACAGCAGGTCCACAGGACATTGGCCATGCTTAAGAACTTAAGAAGAGCCTGCTGGATCGGACCAATGTCCCATTTAGTCCAGCATCCTGGTCTCACAGTGCCCCACCCCAAGATGCCTGTGGGGCGGAAGCCAGGAGGCAGGATCTGAGTGCAACAGCACACTTTCTTCCTGCAATTTCCAGGAACTAGTATCCCAACATCTACCGCCCCCTAGCCATTCCTCCTATGCCTCCCTCTTCCTAGTCTGTTTGAATGCTATGCAGCCTCACCTGCACATTCCTAATGCAGGTTGGACAACCATGAGCGGCAAATGTCAAAATGTCCTGGAAGGAGAATAGAAGAGTGGAAGGCCTGTGATTCTGTGGTTAGCGCATCAGCCTTGCCCAGGTTCAATCCCAGGCATCTCCAGGTAAGGCTGGGAATGATTCTTGCCTGAACCCCTAAGAGTCACTGCCAGTCAGTGTAGGAAATATGTAGCTAGAGAGGCCAATAGCCTGAGCCAACATGAGGCAGCTTCCTATGTCCCTGTGAATGCAGCCTGCTTTGTGAAGGTAACAGTTACATCTGCCCACTTTTGCCCCCAGCACCAGATAGAATCATAGAATCTTAAGAGTTGGAAGGGACCCCAAGGGTCATCTAGTCCAACCCCCTGCAATGCAGGAATCTCAGCTAAAGCATCCATGACAGATGGCCATCCAACCTCTGCTTACTCATTGTCTCGTTTGGCCCTTGGCACCAGCAATGGAGAACAGGTGTGGGCGAAGAAGTAGAGGAGAACCTGCCTGTTTACCTGTACACGGTGAAGAGCGAGGGGATCTTGTAGTCTCGAAGGAGCAGCAAGGTGGGAAGCCAACTCTCCATTAGGTCATGGCAGGCATGGAAACCTAGGAATGGAGAAGACCGGAAATGGCTCATTTGCATGCAGTGCCCAGGTTGCATTTTTTGAAAGGTTTATCTCGTGGAATTGCCCTTTGCAATGTGCTGAAACACACAAGAGAACATGTCAGAAGGGTTTCAGCCTAGCCGTCTCCCTGACCCTGGTGCCATTTCTATGTGCCATCATGCATAAGAACATAATAAGAGCCTGCTGGATCAGGCCAGGGGCCTATCTCCTCCAGCATCCTGTTCCCACAGTGGCCAACCGGTGGGAAGTCCAAAAGCAGGGCCTGAGCTCAAGCACACTCTTGCCTCCTGTGGCTTCCAGCAACTGGTGTTCAGAAGCATCATTGCCTCCGACTGTTGGGATGCAGCCAAGGAGTTGGGGGTAATTGGCAGCCCCCAGCCCACTGGCCGGTCTGTCGGGCGATCTCCAGTCCTTGGATCAGCATGAAACTGCAACCCTAGCTTCAGAAGCTGGGCACGCACACTCAGCAGAGTAAATAACGCTGCGCAACAGAAGTGGCAGGGAGACGGCTGTGTGAGCATATTTACAAGCAGTTTATTCAGCGTACAGCAGGACATGTCCGACCCCCTTTGTGTCCAAAGCAAGAAGCAGAAGCAAAAGTTATACACAAATGGAAGTTCCCAGCAAGCTGTGCTGGAGTGTAAACAGGCATGTGACACACAACAATCATGCCTGTACTTAAGGTGGAACGGAATATCCTAACATCCTCCCCCTTTCCGTGTAACCTGTATCACCTG